GGAGAGGGGAACTCTGGGAGGGCCCAGCACCAAGCAAACAGCTGCGGTGGGGAGCTTAGCCCCATGGAGACTCCGGGACACTGCATGGAGCTGGAGTCACCCCAGCTCTGCGGAGGGAGCTGGCAGGTACTTAGTCTCCCCAACATCTGGCCCTGGTTGGCACTGCACAGCTGCGACCCTCCACATGTCTGCCTTGCCCTGTGCGGGGCTGAACATCCACAGCCAGGAGCAAAAACCCCCTGGACAGAGAGACTTGGGTCATCAGGGTGAGAGGTGGAGGCCCTGTAGGGACTGCAGTGACCACTCCCCTCCCCCAACATGGGGCAGCCTGCCCTAGGCCCTTGGGAGTCTCAGATCTGATCCCCATAAAGCCCCAAATGCAGACACAGCTTCTACCACTTCCCTGAAAAGGCAGAGTGGAAACGGAAGTAATTCAAGTAACAGCTGGTTGAGATGCAGTTTGGGGTCCAGGCAGGCTGCTCAGGCCCTTCTCTGGCTGCCCTGATGGAAGAGGATACCTCTCACAAATCGACCTCTTCTTGCCTATACAAGCCTGAATGTTAGGTTCACTGGATTCAGATCTTCCCAGGCTAATGTCCTGCAGAGTGGCAGCTGGGACACTGAGGGCGGGGCATCTTTACTCTAGGGGCAGAGTCTGAAGGAGACTGAGCACTTCGGGAAGAGCTCTCACAGTTACTATGATGACTCAACAAGGTGATGCTTCTAAAATGCATAGCTGCATAGGGCGCAAGTAATCATCCAAAAATCATTTGTGGAAGAGATGAGTATGCTTTTAATTTTCATTTTCTATGTTCGTTTTTATTGGCTGTGTGGTTTGGACAAATTACCTAACCTCTCTGAACCTCAGTGTTTTTCACTCACGTCACCCTTGGAGGGGTCATGGTGTGGATTAAGAGATGGCGTGTATTACACTTGGGCTTCCCTGATAGCTCAGTTGATAAAGAATCCACCTGCAATGCAGGAGACCCAGTTTGATTCCTGGATCTGGGATATCCGCTGGAGAAGGGATAGGCTACCAACTTCAGTGTTCTTGCCTGAATAATCCCATGGACAGAGGAGCCTGGTGAGCTACAGTCCATGGGGTCACAAAGAGTCGGACACAACTGAAGTGACTTAGCAGCAGCAGCATATATTATATACAAGCATCTGCTGCATACATAGTAAGCACTCAACAGAGGAAGAGGCAGATGTGGCCTTGTCCAGCCCCAAAGCTGGAGCCCAGCACAGTCATATTCTCCAGGTTCATGACTGAAAGAAGAGTTCTGAGCCCTGACTCCCAATTTTCCCTATTCATCCTTCCCCATCTCTGGTCCTTCTTCACTCCCTCACCCCTCATCTGCATCCTTTCCTTGTACTTGGACATTCCATCCATCATTCAGCTTTCTGCCCAGGTGCAGGCTGCTCCTGCTGTTATCAAAAGGCACTCAGGAACCCACTGGCCGGCTCCTCCTCCCAGCCCGAGCTCCCTCCCTACCTGCTCCCAGCTTCTCCTAGACAGAAGGGAGACAGAGATAATGAGTGAGGCTCCTCTGAGCATAACAATGAAGGAAAGGAGTCATGTTCAGCTGATGAACAAACTAGAAAGGGGGCTCGGAAGGTGATGACGAGATGTTGGGATGGATGATGGATGGTTGGAGGCTGGTGACACCCATCCTAGGCCAAGAGGATGCTGAGCAGGGAGGATTTCTGCTTGGCTCCTCCCTCCTTGCTGAGTTTGGAAGGTCCTTGTGGATGAGGTGCTGTGGAAGGGTGGGAAGGTGGGAGATGAGTTCAAGTCCTCTTTCTGCTCTGCACTTCTGTGTGGGCTTGGGTGAGTCACTGGCCATGTGGCCATATCCACATCATGCCACCTTTTATGTGCCAGGCCCTGGGATCCAGCAGGAAATTCCACAGACATATTCTTGACATCTTACAATCTCTGGGACACTTGGCTGTAAATTAGGTGGTCACATTCCCCCCACCCCTACTACGCTTGTAATGGGGGCAGTTTATGGGCTCTGATCCCAGCTGGGGGCATTGTCCGGGTGGTTTTCCTGAGGATGAAGAGGACTGAGCCAGGGAAAGAGGGGCAAGGAGGGCAGAATGGTCCAGGCTGAGGGACCAGCTTGGAGGGAGAAGGCAAAGATGGAGGACAAGGGTGGGGAGTGGGAGGCTGGGCCATCCCTGGGGGCACAGATGGCTGGGCTGGGCTTCTTATTTTATAAAAGTGATTTGTGAAATATTTTATCCTAAATATATTACAAAATTATAAATAAAATAGATGGAGTAGTCACTGGACAGTTTTAAACAGAACTGTGTAGCCTGATCTGGCTTGGAAAGGGCACTTGGGGGCTCTGGGTAGAAAATGGATTGGGGAAGGGGAGAGGAGGTCAGGAGAGTGGGTAGGAGGCCACGCAGTGGTCCGGTGAGCAAGGGAGCTCCCACCAGCATCTCTCAGAGTCTCGCTGAAAGCAGCTCGTATAGTAAAGGTCCCCGCTATAAAAACGCCAAACCTAAGTTACCAGTAGCAACTGGAAGAATGGCCTCATTGGAAGAGATGCCTAATGTACCGATCAGAGGTTTTTCATGAGTGTGAGAATTAGGCCATGTGGCTCCGTGGAGTCGTGTCCCTGCCATGCCCGTGATCAAGCCTGGACTGAGGCGGTGGCTGCCAGGGCGATGGATATGGGCCAAACCAAGACCGATGCAGAAGCAGGAGGGAGGGGAGCTTAGCGATTGATGGTGGGGGGGGTCAATGTCACTTGTCATGACACCTCCTCTGACCACACCGTTGTCTCCTGCCCCCCGCAGGGTACCCCCACCTTATCCTGACCTTGTCCTGCTCAGGCTCTAAGCAAATTCTTTCCAAGACAGGCCCCTAGAGCCAAAGTCCTGTGTCTCCTAAGAGGGTCAAAAAGACAGGCTTGGCGGCTGTACCACGTGACACCCTGCGGGACATCATGATGTGTGGGCGGTCGTCTGGGTGCAGGGTGAGAGGCGCTCAGGGCCACCCAGGCCAGCAGGCAGTGGCAGCTGTCACTGTTCCTGACCCAAGTGTCTTTCTCACGGAGCCCTGCACTGGTTTCTGTGGAGATGCTCCACTCCCTAGCCCCCCTCCTGCATTCCACATGGGTGATGTATAGGGGGGCCCCTCTTCATCAGCCCTGTCCTCAGGGTCCAAAATTGGGTCCCGCTAGACTTCACATGGAAACCTGGGTCCCTCAGGTCCTGACTGTTGTCATGAACATGTGTGCACACGTGCCGTCATGCCTGCCCGCTCATACGCTCTCACACACTCTGGCTCACCCAGGCCCCCTTCCCACCACTTGACCTCAGCTGCTGCTTTCTCAGCCCCTGAGGCCTAACCCCAGGCTGAGCTCCAGGTAAGGTGGACCTCTGGGGCTTGCCACTGTTTTGGCGCCGTTCCTGGTTCTGGCCCTTCCAGGCCTGGGCGTGCTGCCTCCGTCCACTGCCACCATGGAAGGCAGCTCACCCATCATCCGGCCCTGATTCTCAGCCTGGATCCTGATGGGTGGCCTGCCTGTGCCCCATCTTCAGTGAGAGCCCTCCCTGACAGCCCCGCCCAGGGCAACAATGCAGGGCCCAGGGGGAGGGTCAGCAGATGCCACTGGGTACCAGGTCTGGAGACCCGACACGGGCAAGGACACGGCTGCGGTTCCCACCCCAAGGCTGCTGCGGGAAGAGCAGAGCCATTCTGCAGGGCCACTGCTGTGTCTGCTCATCCAGCTTCCCTCCCCTCTTCTGACTTCCACTGGGACCTCTCTCCTGATTCTTCTCCAGCCATGAGCTTTCTGTGTCCATAGGTGGGCCCCATCCTGGATGGGGCCCCCATCCTTTGGGTTGTGGTGACTGGTCCAAGGAGGGATGCAGGCTCTGGAGGGGGCTGCTGGTTTGGGGTCCTGACCCCACCACTTACTCACACTGAGATCTTAGGCAAACATATATTGGGTTGGCCAAAAATTCTGCTTAGGTCTTTCCATAAGATGTCACAGAAGAAACCCAAATGAACTTTTTGGCCAATCCAATAACTTCCCTATGCCTCAGTTTCCTCACCTGTACAATGGAGAGAATAATGGTCCCCACTTAATTGTTGTACAGATAGAATCATGTAAATGGCTCAGCACAGAGTAAGTGCTCAGTAAATAGGAGCTGCTGGGATTAATAGGACTAAATTTGGGGCCTTCTGATGGAGTGATTGTAAAAGAGAAACTCTTTTTAAAAAACTGATACTAAATGTACATCTTGAGCTACTGGAGGAATCTTGCCATCAGGAGGGAGAGCCTGCCTGATAATAAATTCAGCACAAAGAAAACCAGAGCTCAGAGATGGGGGAAGAAGGACTTAATCCTAATGAAATCACTTGAGTTCCTTGATTCAGCTGTTCCTGAAAGTGTGACCCTGAACTATTCAGGAACATAACCAAGTCTTCGTTTTTTCTTCCTTTTTTGCTTGCATCACTTTGAGTTGAGTTTCTATCATTGTAACCAAAAATGTCATAATGAGCATCCATCTGTCCATCTATCCATCCATCCACAAGTCCGAGCTGTGTGGATTTAGACATATCACTTTCCTCTCCAAGACTTAGTTTCTGCATCTATAAAATGGGAGTTTCATCAATTACTTGATAGATGGGTTCAGCGATGAATGGGCAAGCCATGTACCAAAGGCAGAGGAGGGTATCAGTAAATTTCTCTTCCATTTCATTTTTCTGTCTATATCCTGCCCCATCCCTACCTGGAAAGTCAAAGGAGGATCCACACCCTACCAGGCCTGGATCCTTCAGCAGCAGAATCTGATTAGTACAGCCTTTATTGTTTCTCTGTCATTTCCCAGAAGATTGGTGTCATTCGAGGGCCACAGGGAATGGGGGAGTAAAAAATAACATAAACAAACTGAACAGAAAGGCAGGAGGGTGATGAGAGGGGCTGAGATCGAGTGTTCAGGGCAGAGAGGAGCAAGACCTGGGCAGTCAGAGCCTCTTAGCTTTCAGCCACCAGAGTGGAAAATTCTGCAAAAGAAAATGACAGAGGTGAGTCAGAGGGGGACCATGGCCTGGGATATTGGCCGGGACCTGACCACGGGGAACCGCCCCCACGCCCCCCCCACCACCCCCATGGTGTTTTCTCTTGATTCTCAAATATGTTGCAGAAGAAAGAGCTGGAGTGGTGGAGGAAGTGAGCATGGGGATGAATGAGTGAATGAATGAGGTGAGATGGGAAATGATGCACCTACCATATCTTTTGTGTCACGATGTCATGTCACCCACAAATTACTAATAATACTAATTACAATAATAACAGCCATGATAGTTTTCTGAATGTTTATCACATACCAGTCAGTTTTCTAAGTGCTTTATATACAACATCTTGTTTAACTGACAAAACTCCCATGATGTACATTTTATCATTATTCCCATTCTACAGAGAGGAAACAGAGGCTCAGAATCCAGCAAGGTCTATGAGGCCACACGGCTAGGAAGAAGCAGAGCCAGGCTTCAGATCTCTTTCTTAGCGCTTGGTTTTTAGCTCCTCTTCTGAGCTCTTTCTTAGCCCCTTGGTTTAGCCCATGAGGGTCACCAGCAGAATCTTCAGAATACATAGAGTCCCAGGCCCTTGCTACAGAATGTTTGACTCAGAAGGTCTGGGGAGAGATGAATTATTTTATTTGTTAAAAGGTGACTCTGGTGAACAGCCAAGTTCAGAAACAACCGTGTGCTCCTCCTCTTCTGGGGGACCGAGCCAGACCCTGGAGGAGACCGACCATGTGACTTCTGTGCACAGCTCAGAGGGGTGAGTGCATCCTGGTGCTCAGAGTGAGCTGGGCTCTATCTCACATGCATGCATGCTAAGTTGCTCCAGTCATATTCAGTCTTTACAACCCCATGGACTGTAGCCCACCAGACTCCTCTTGGATACTCCAGGCAAGAATACTGGAGTGGGTTGCCATGCCCTCTTCCAGGGGATCTTCCTGACCCAGGATCAAACCTGTGTCTCTTATGTCTCCTTCACTGGCAGGCAGGTTCTTAACCAATAGCGCCACCCTGTCTCACACAGCTCCTCATATAATCATCAGAAACACAAACCAGGTGAGGGGAGGTGCAGGGGAGTCCAAGATGGTCCCTGCACCATAGGAGGTGCAAGAAGATGATATCAGGAATGCTGCTGGCCTTTTCTCTGAATCTCAAGCATGCCGAGGGCACACCCCAGGACCTTTGCACCTGCCATTCTTGTTGCCTGATACATTCTCCAGGCTGCCTCACGGCCGGCTCCTTCTCACTCACCTGGTCTCAGCTCACATGTCACCTCTCAAGGGGCTTTCTCTGATCCCTCTGGTACAAGCAGTGACCCACCCCTACTGAGATCCTCTTTGCTATCGCCATTTATTTATTAGCTTCACAGCACGCACCACTCTTGGAATACTTCTGAGTCTATTCTTGCTTATTCAGTTGCAGTCTGCTTCCTGTGTTGGACCGTAAGCCTGCAGCCCTCTCAGGCTGTTTCCTCCATCCCACCTCTTGGCTCTGCATCTGACGCCGAGGGGACCACATGTGTCTGTGAAAAGATGGGAGAGGCACAGAGACTCTGTGTTCCCAGCAAGAAGAGGTGCCTTCTATTTAAGGCATCAACAAAACCCTCAGAGAAAAGGTGGCTTTTGATATAGGCATATAAGCAGATGCAGGATTCCTGTAGGAGAAAGCAGAGGGAGGGGTCCAGTCTCAAGAGCAGGAAGCAATGGTGTGTATTTGGGGAAGACTCAGTAGTCATGCTGGGCTGGCCTCCTGCATGATAAGACAAGCTCAGCTAGAGAGGCCTGGGCCCCCAAATCTGGCTCTTCCCCCTGTGGGCTGTGTGACCTTAGACAAGATGCTGAGCCTCTCTGAGCCCCACTAGCATCCTCTGTAAAAGACAGCTCTGCTTCTGACTCAGGCGGTCAGAAGAGAGGTGAGGTGCACAGGAAGCCTCAGCCCCTTCTGGCAGCTTCCCTACCCTCCCTGCTCCATGTGTTCCCAACTGTGGGGTCCCATGTGCTGCTCAGTAGGGGTTCTGCTCAGCAGCCAGGTCTTCTGAGACCTTTATTTGGAAGATTTGCTTTAGGAGAGTCTTCCCTGTTGTTTTTCTCTCCAAGAAATGAGAGAAGACAGGAGTTGGCCACCCTCTCCAATATGTGTCTCTGAGATGCCATGTCCCCAGCCTGCCAGACACTGGGGGACCCTCAGGTAAGGCCCCGTCGCCTCTTGAAATGCAGGTGTGATGTGGGGACACCACAGATGGGAACTGAGAACTAGACTTTGAGGCTCAGGCTGGCCCTGTTTGCTGGGCTCTCCAATCTGAAGGGAGGGGGCCGTAACAATTCCTAGTGAGAGACAAACAAAAAACTGAATGTGAAGTGGCTTCAAAAAGGCTACAAGAGGTATCTGGGGCTCCCCTGAGGTTCATCCTGTCCTCCCCAGGCTTGGTATGAAACCTACTGTGAAAACCTCCCAGGGTAATTTCTTCAATGCACATGGTTATGTAAAATGTTATCACTGGGGATGCTGGGCTATTGTTGGACCTACAAAGCTAGAAGGATTTAAAAAATCACCAAGTGGAAAGACAAAACCACCCAAACCAGCACATGCTATCATCATGAAAGTGACCTGCCACTGACCCCGCCAAGTGGAGGGCGCCTCATCTTTTCCGGATTTGACCTGGGAAATGGACACCACCCTCTCCTGCCCCCAGCTAGTCCCTGAGGCCAGGAAAGGCAGGTGGCCTAGAGGAGGGGGCCTGGGGATCAAATCAAGGTGAGAGAGGGGGAGAGTTCTCCTGCTCATTCTGAAAACCCTCAGGGTGGTGGGCTAAGGGATCACAGTGAATGTCAGGAATGGAACCCATCATCAAACACTAAAAATTCCTCCCATAGTCCAGGCATCAAAGTGTCCGCTTTCTCACCAGGGGCTTCTCTGAACCTACAGCACCCCACTAAGGCAGGTGGTTCTTTTGAAATTTTTTTTTTTTGACTGCACAATGAGACCTGTGGGATTTTAGTTCCCTGACCAGGGATTGAACCTGTGCCCCCCGCACTGAAAGTGCAGTGTCTTAACCACTGGACCCCCAGGGAAGCCCCAAGATATCTTTTACCATTAGTACTTTGATTAATATTGCCCATTTTTATAGAATTTAAAAATTCTTATTTTTATCACCTCCGTGAGAAGCAGTTTTGCATTTATCATCTCATTAAGTTCTCACTTCCTCCATGGGAGAGAGGCTTTTGTCTGCATTTTATAGGTGGGGAAACTGAGGCCGCAGTCCAGTTGCATGACCAAGATCGCACAGAGGACATGATTCAAACTTCCCTCTTTTCCCTGGAGGTTTCTGACCTACTTTGACCTGGGTCTAGAGTGACACAGGCACCAGCTCAAATATCGCCGCCCCATGACTGTCATATTAGCCGTTTTTTATTTACTTCATGGTACTTATCACTCTCTGAAATTATCTTACTTATGTAATTGCTTATTTCTTTCAGTCTCCCCCTACCACAGTGTAAACCCCCGGGGGTCAGGGGGCGCTATCTCTCTTGCTCACAACTCTCCTAGCAACAGAACAGACCTGGCCCCCAGCAGGTGCCTGTAAACAAATGCTAAATGGGTGGACAGATGGATCAATGGATGGCATGGATCATGAGTCCTCCTTAGGTGTTCAGCAAGTACTGACTTTTGGCATATAATTCTCCCGACAGCCCCCGGAGGCGAATGGGATGATTCCCATTTTATAGATGGGGAAGTGGAGGCCTGGAGAGGTCAAGTGTCAAGGTCACGCAGCATAGAAGGGACAGGAGCAGGGGTTTGGCTGTGGTCTCAGGAACACCCCCTACATGAAGGTAGAAAGGCCGTTCCTGAGAAGGTTAGTATCTCACATCGGATGGAAGCATGAAATCTCTCTAGCTTCAACCTGCCATTTGATCTGAAAAACTGGCTGGAGCCCGCATAGCCTGTCCTTGGGCACTGAGTTGCTCTGTTCTGGGATAAAGGAGACATGAGTCTGTCCACCATCACCTGCTCATGGGGTAATTGTCAAGAGGGTAATTGGTCCTTTCCATTTCCTGACCTCCATCTACGCCACCTCCAACCTTCACCCTAGAAATTACAGGTTCTTGGCTGCTCCTTAGCAAAGAGCCTGACTGTCACCTTCACACCAGATGGCATTTGGGGCAGTCAGCGTGGAGGGGGCCAGGGGACACCAGCCACGGGCCCCTCCAGCAGGAGAACGTCTGACATTTTGGAGCCTGACTATGGAGGTGTTTTCGACCCGAGAGGTTTTCAGAAGCCTCTAAAAACAGACGTCTGGGATCTCCCATGAAGCAGTCAGGGTGTCACAATAGCACATGCCCTGGCTTTTTGCAGAAAACACAGGATTCTAATTTTGTCCTCCCGGAACCGGCTGCAGGGCACTTGGGAGACAAATCGAGGGCACGGGTCACCTCTTCTGTTCCTTTTGTACCTCTCTCAGGGCAGAGCTCTTAGGAACCAGCCAATTAACTAATAGCCCTCCTATCAAAACGTCTCCTCTAAAACGTCCAGGTCTCTCCTGAGAGAAAAACAAACAGGCAAGCCTACGAAGACTGTAAAGTCCAGGTCAAGAGCTGGCAGTAGGAGGCTGGCATGGGGATGGGCGTCAGAGCATGGAGTCTGCGCTGTTCTGCCTTCACTCATGTCCTTGGACAGGACACCTCCCCCTGCCGGGTCTGGGCTTTCTCATTTGTGCAGCCTTGGGTCTAGAAGACACCTTTCCAGCTCCGCTCCGGAGTGTGGAGCTGGGCGTCAACCCTCAACTCCTATTTCTTGCTTCTGTGACCTGGGACTAGGTGCTTCACCTCACTGTGCCTCAGTTTCCTCATCTGTAAAGTGTGACTCCTTGGGCTGTTCAGAGGAAGCAGCTCTAAAGCCCTTATCACTGGCTTGATCTGTAGCTAGCACGCAGCATTTGGTGGCTGTTCTTATCAAGATGCTCCTATAGCTCCAGGACTTCC